GTGGGGACCTGGTAGGACACACGCAGTCTAGCTTTACAGTGGTTTACAGTCCTCTCTAAGCAGCTTACAGAGTCAGGCTATTGCCCCCAACAATCTGGGTCCTCATTTTGCCGATCTGGCAAAGACAGAAGGCCGAGTCAACCTTGAGCAGTTCAGGATCGAACTGCTGGCAGTTGGCAGAATTAGCCTGCAATATTGCATTCTGACCACAGGTAGCTCTTACCTACCATCTATCGCTATTTCATCCACCCATCATCTTTTTCATATCTATCTATCTATCTATCTATCTATCTATCTATCTATCACAGTAGCACTTAGACTTATATACCGCTTCAGCCCTAAGTGGTTTACAGAATCATCCTCTTGCCCCCAACAATCTTGGTCCTCATTTTACCCACCGCGGAAAGTTGGAAGGCTGAATCAACCTTGAACCAGTCAGGATCGAACTCCTGGCAGTCAGCAGAATTAGCCTGCAATACTACAATCTCACCACTGCACTACCATGGCTCTTGCAGCAATAGCATTTAGACTTATATGCCTTTTCAGCCCTCTCTAAGCGGTTTACAGAGCCAGCCTACCGGCCCCAACAATGTGGATCTTCATTTTACTGATCTCAGATGGACGGGAGGCTGAGCCAGAGAATCTCGTTCCACTTTCTCAGAGCTAAGCAAATATGAAACAAGGGGTCAGGTTGCTTGCTCACTCGTACCAAAAATGCTCTCGCTGGTGGCTCTACACAGTATAAACCTCAATATGCACACAAAGCCTTGCTACATGGTAGTTGGACGTACTTTGACATAGTCGTATTCACACTGGTAAGACAGCTCAAGGTTGAAGTGAGTAAAATAGAGGCGGACGGCATATCCGTGAGGCACAGTGATATTCCATATCCTCTCCTTGCTGTTAGGGTAGACATTGGGGAAATCCGGAGAGGCGATCCTCCCGTACATTTTGTCCAGCTGAAGAACATCACCAAGCATCCCAGGCCACAAAGTGAGGAGAAGAAAGCAAAATCTGTGACAGAGGAAATAGGGAAAGTTTTACACACACACACACACACAAACCAGGCTGGCTGATCCTTCACTCATCCTCTTCCTTCCTCTTCTCCCTTCCTTCCTCTTCAGATTTCTGAGCCTGTCTGCCTTCATTGCCCCTCTTAAAAATATTCCATAAAGCTCAAGAGTCAGATGTAAAAAAAAACCTGTTTCAATGCCATTACTAAAACAGGCACACATTGATTGAATTCTGCAGACAATCCTGTAGACATTCAAGCTTCAGTTCTTATCTGTCCAAGCCAGAATTGCCAATTTGTCATCACTGTCATCACCCTATAGAAGCTGAATTTAAGAAAGCCCACTACACTTCATTAAGCAGAAAGAACACCAGAAAAAAAGCCACAGTTGATCAAATTAAACACTGATTTAATATGGTATCTTGTCTCCCTCCATACCCGAATAAGATTCCTCACGGAAGCAGGACGTGACCCCGCTCTTCTCCATTAATTTACCAAACAGCCTACTAAAGTCGTGTAAGTTGATGGAGGACATACTGTCTACAGAAATGTCCGTAGGCGTGGAGGAGGGAGGCAATCACATGGACAGGTTAACAATTTGACAAGCACAGAGCAAGCTCACAACAAACCACGCATTGCCCAAAGGAACTGAATTATGAAAATTACGAATTATTTCCCCATAGAAACAAGGTAATGGCAGTTGCATAGGTATTGGTAGAAATCATTACATTGGAGAGAAAGGATTTGTTCTTCTTCCCATATAAAGAGATAAAAGTTAGGTTCTTCCGGGAGGCCAAGTTGTATCTCAATGTGTTGTAGAAGAGATTGCTTCTCAAAAAAAAAAAATATTAGTTTTTTTTTACAAGGATCAGGGAAATTTTGGCGGGTCAAAAGTATGAAAAACAAGTTCACACCTTATTTAATTCCCACCGTGCATAGAACGTACCTCATCCCAGCAGCGTTCCTGTCTGTTTCCATCTGGGTTTTGCAGTCAATAGCTTTCCACGGCCTATTTACCTTGTTGAGGAAAGCTTTTCCTGTGTTGGTTCAGGAATATTTGCCTGAATTTTGAACTCTGGTCTTACGTTTCTCTTAAAACAGGCATGTGGCGGAAGTTGGGAAGGGCTTTCGTCGATTCGTTCTTGGCCTCCCCTCTCTTCTTTCCCTTAAAGAAAGACACACCTAAAGTCTTTCAACGTTTAAGTTTGCTCTGAGCTAGGCTAAGTTGACAAAAAAAATAAAATAACCCAGCACTTGTGGGTGTAGTAAGTGAGATAAATGGGGAAGGTACAGGGAAGTACATAATTTTCTGGGTTGAGGGGGGAGGGAGGGATTATATTTGGCAATAGCCATTGTGTTTCGTCAGCTGGGTCTTTCCCCTCTCTTGTGTAATGTCCGTAAACGTATAAAAAAATCCAGGCACCTCTTCTGCAGCTGGAGAAAGAAAGGGACGGAGGGAAGAAAATACCGTGTGGGCAATGCCAGGAGTAGTGAATGGTGCCTGGAACTTTAAAACGATTGTTCCTTGCCTTAAATACACGAATGAGGACGTTTTTCCCCTTTTATTGCATTTCTAAATCAGACCTGAAAGAAAATACTCTATAAATATTTTGTTTTCCCTTATTGTTTACTCACCACCCTTGAAAATCACTCCGATAATAGAGATGCTTTTACGTTGAATACCGTGAATTCTGGTTTCACAGTCTATTTCACATTTCTTCCACATTTACTAAGACACCTCTACTCTCTACACAAGTACTTTGAATCTGGCTTTAATTGGTTGTTTTTAGTAAAAAGTAAATTTTGCAGACTTCGAAGGCACTCTGCCTCTGGTCTGTCGAGACAGGCAATATCTTTTTTGTCCCTAGTATTTTAGCCAACGGTTCTTCCCAGGCAGAAGTATGTACAGGGAGAGATAAATAGGAAAAGTATATGCATTTATGTAAATTCTATAATATGAGAGAAGAAACTCCTTTCCAAAAGAGAGCCAATTTAACTGTCAGCTGCTTGCATTCACAAGTCCTTCATCCTTTTGAGAAGGGCGGTACCAAATCGACTGGCATCTCTCCACAAAGCAAGGTATCTTGTCACTGTACCATAATCCCTCATTCCACCCAGCCCACCAAAGCAAATATGAAGCTGTCGTGACTGAATCAGCCCAGGGTTCTCCTGAGGTCCATTTTGTCTTCAACCGGTTGACTGTTGCTTTTCTCGATTTTACTTGGTAGCTCAAGATCCTACTCCTTTTCCAAAAGCAGAGCAGCTTCTTCTGCAGAACTTAGCTTCTTTAATGACCACGATGGCATTTGAATTAACTGAGTGGTCTCCTTACTCAAACTGCAACAATACCGGCCGCCTCTTTGCTTCTTGTTTTGAAGTCACCCGGTTGAGAGAGTCGGCAGTTATTTTGTCATTTTATCACAGACAGAACTCATTAGTGGAAGCGTCTGCCTCCACCACCCCCACCCCAGGTGGCCAGTACTGTCACGTACGGCTCTATTGTCATTTTCTCGTTTGCAAAATCAATTTCATACTTTTTGGCCCGAGCAGAAGGGGAAACATGAACTGATGGCTGATCAACAATGAACAAGCAGATTTCATGAAGATTTCGTGTGATTTCGTTGGTCTGCCATTTTTTAACTGTTCGTTTGAAGGTAGATGAACATACCAGGGATTTACAGCCCGATACAATCGTGTTTTCAACAGGCAGACTCGGAGTAAGGGTCATGACTGGGTTCAGGGGTCATCTAAAAAAAAGTCCCGTGTTTGATTTTGCCCTCTGAAGGGATGAACCCAGATAATTTATATCTGCTGCTCATTGCAAGAAGTAGGCTGCATATAAACCAGATATTTCACCGTTCAAATCCCTGCAGGCAAGAATGCTCGCATTATACCTGTGTGTTTTCAGCTGACACAAAATCACTTAGTACATGATGTTCAGACCAGCCTCCATTGCCCATCTGAAGGTGCATTAAACATAAAGTGCTGTACCTTTTATTTTTTTTCTCTTTCCCCTGAACCCAATGTCCCATTTTCATCATTGCGACAAGCAGTGAACAAGCGCCGAAAGATAATGGGTGATATTCTCCGGAGCAGATGTCAGGTTGGCTTCGAGCTTAGATGCGAATCATAAAAACCCCTGATTCCCATCCAATTGCATCCTCACTTTTGTGAGAGGAGCTATCCCAACGTTATGCCTTTGCCCTTGGCTTGTGTCATGTCAAAGGAAGCCTTTTTCTCCACATCTCCTAGGTCTGCTTGTCACCACTGAGAAGATACAAGTCTTCAGGTGATTCCATGCCCAGCAGTGGTTCAAGTTCAAGATTCTTCTTTTTTTTAACAACAAACATAAACAAATACAAACACAAAACAAGAAATAAAACCTTCTTTCAGTTGTACAGTGTGTCGGTTGGTACATATCTCTTGTGCATAATACCAACAGACTTTCCTCTTAAATTTAAATTAAGATTCATATTATAAAAAAACCTATCCATATCATATTATCTTATTGTTAAATCATCATTAGACTTTAATTACAAATTTACTTCATCCTTTTCGAGCAAATTATAATTCTTTCCACGATAATCAGTTATGTAGGATTTCATTGTATTATCTTTACTATTATGTTATATTTGTATTATAAAGTGCTTCATTTCTCTATTTTCCTATCCAGCCATTGGTCAAATAAATCCCATATTTTAAAACATTCATTTTCTTCTTGCTCTCTAATTGCCAGTGTCAATATATTCTTTTCTGCACATTCACCTCCCCTTCTATTGGAATTTCTTCCACTTTTCCAATTTTTAGCAAATACAATTCTAGCTGCTGTTAAAACATTTATAATCAAATATATCAATCCTCTACTGTGTCAGGTTCAAGATCTAGATTCAAGTCCTGTTTCTGAGCTTGAATTAGTTCACAGCTAGGAGCCCCGAAGCAGCTTTCCATGACATGAGTGAAGGATGAAGAAAAAGGCTTCAAAAGAGCATCTTCTTTTAAAATAACATTTTTTTTAACATGGACGTATTATTTGGAGACAGTTCATGATTTCGGCGTTCCAGCAGAACTGACGGAATTGGGCTGGCTTCTCATCTCGTCTCTCCTTTTCCTTCATGGGCCCATCTGAGTCTTTGGATTTTCATCGAGCTCCCAGGACTGGAGGAAAACAAGGCAATTCCTTTTCTCTTAGCTGCTCATCCCAGTTAAAAGTGAAGCTCTTGCCTCTACTGAAACTGAACAAGGAGAGATTCAACTATAGAAATGTGGAGGAATTTTCTGACAGTGAAAACAATCAACCCATGGAACAGAAGTTGCCTTTGGAAGTTGTGGGAGCGCCATCCCTTGTGACCTTCAGGAAGAGATTGGACTACCATTTGTCAGAAATGGTGTAGGGTCTCCCACTTGGGCCGGGGGTTAGACTAGATGACCTATACGGTCCCTTCCAACTCTGATTATCTGTTATTCCCAGATGAAGAAAAGAGCTGGATTCCTGGACACCTTCATGGATGCATCCTTGTTGTTTTCTTGGCAGTCGTTTGCGTTGCTCTTCTCTGTGATTTGTCCCTTCAGTCCTCCAGCCAGCTTAGCCTTTGGTCTTGAGGTCCCCTCAGGATCCCATCCAAATCCTAGACCAAGCCCAGCCCTGCTTAGGTTGGGAGCACAAACAAGGTCTAGCAGGTGCTGCTTCCTGCAGAGTCCACTATCGATGACTCATGATGCATTTAGCATCCTCGCGACCTCCACTTTTGTATAATGCGGTTGGAACAGTTTTTTTTCCTGGCTGTTTCTGTAGCCATCAGTTGGGCTCCAACTTGGCCAGCTTTCTCCGCCAACCTTTTCTGCCAGGTTTGTTGCTGCAAAACAGGACTAAATAAAACAAACCCGCAAACAGATCACACTCTTGTCTTGATATGTTGACTTGGCTCAAGCAATAGATTTGGCACACAGGCATTAAGTAGTTGGGTAGCGTTGATGGCCAGCGGCCATGCCCTCATTTGCGGAAGACGAACCTCGGGATATTCAGCTATGGAGGCTGGATTAGTGCTCCAATCCGTGCAAACTGCCCCGATTCCTGCCTTCGAAGACGGCTCAGCCTTTCCCCATATGAGGCTTCCAGACTGAACAGAATAACAGAGTTGGAAGGGACTTTGGAGGTCTTCAGTCTTTCTTGGATGTATTGGGGATTAACCCTAGATTTATGAAAATGGTTGTCTGAATTTATCTGCCAAATTACAGCAGGCTTGCGTTAGACCAACCAGCCAAGTAGGGGAATACAAAGTCTCGTCGGTTTGTATTCTTTCATCTAAGAAATGTTTGTGTGTCTCCAATTCTGCTTCGCTAAACTGCAGGTTTGAGCTTTTTGTCTTCCCCGCCTTAATTTCTTAGTTATATGGCACAGCGGCTTCTTTATTAGGGGGCCATTAGCCTGACGGCAGCACTGTTTCTCCATAAGTGTCCCGAAACGGAATTAAAACAAGATTCTACTCATTTCAACTGAAGCTGAAATTGGTGCCCCTGTGAGGCCAGTATCTCAAAGCAAGAGCTTGTGATGACCCAAACGGGCGTGGCATAAAGGCAACACAGTCACGTAAATAAGAAGAGTCCCTTTAATACTGCCAACTTTGCCCCCAATGTCCAGGTTACCTTTGGCTAGAGAAAAAACTCCCCCAGGAACAGCCTTTAAGGGGAGGAAATTAGTCCGAAAACAAAGTACATACAAACTGTAAATAAAAATCCACACCAACCACACTGCAGCAATGAACTTGACAGGGCAGGATAAGGAATTGCAGACTTGAAAGGCCAGCAAAACACACACAGTTGGGAAGACACCAGGAACCCAGATAAGCCTCAACAATACCAGGTAATTCACAATTTGCTCTCAACAGTTTGTTGTGCACCACTTCCCTTTTTAAACCCTGTGTTCCCAGCTGCAGCTAATGAAGGGAATCAGGACCCTTTCCTCCCCCGTAAGTCACGCAACTCACATTGCTCCCTTCTCTGTTCCTCCCTGCGTGCTCTAGGATGAAGAGGGGTGGGCCTGGGTCTTCCTCTGAATTTCCTCTGCCTTTCTGTACCTCTCCCCTGCTCTGCCCAGCTGGACTTTGCCCTTCCCCAGTTTCTTCCACAGCCAATGGAGCCACACTCCCATTCCCTGTCAGCTGCTCAGCCTCCCCCTCTGAATCAGATTCCGACAGGGGCATGACAGAGAGCCAATAAAAGGATCTCCCAAACCACAAAAAGTTTAATCCCTCCCCTCAAATGATAAGTATGCAGAGCAGACTCCAGAAAAA